TTTTTTCGTTCACTTAAATAAACTGAGCTGAGAATAGAGAGAGATAAGGTGGAGACACCTCAAAGGTACTTGGGGGCACTTGGTCCAATGGCATTTTCATCTGGGAGCACTTGGGTTGACCTGAGGGAATTTGGCATAACCAGAGCAGCACTTTGGGGCAAGCTAGGGCACTTAGGCTGACTACAGGGGCATGTGAGGTGACCACTTTGGGGGCACTTGAACCAACCAGAAGAGGGGTTATTTAAGAAACCTGCTGCATATTTATTTTGTTATGTGGCTTTTACTCAGATTGTATTTATCTGCTGGGACCATTACTTGAGTATAAACTTAGGTTAACCAAAGACATTGAGAAACAACTCAATGACGGGATGGCTCTTCTCTGTAAGGGAAGTTCTTTATTATAGGATTTCCGTTTTACTCTGACTCATGTTGCTCAGGTTTAGTTGTGTCTCAGCTGTAACTGAAGCCAGCATTTCAAATAGCTTCACTTGTTTTAAAATGAAAAAAATATTATTAAGATATTACAATACGAGTTCTGATAACAGCACTCTTAAAGTGATACAGATACCATTAAAGTACTTCCATTGAAATAATCCTTCCATATTTTATATCAGTGGTTCTTGAATGGTGTGATGCCAATCCAGGTGTGCCGTGGGATTTTGTGATAACCACACATTATTATGGTGATATTTAACTGGTCCTTTACAAAAAGTTATGGATTCATTTTTAATTAACTATATCAGTATGTTGTGTGCACCCGTTTCTTAATAAAGAGGCAATCTCTCGCTGTTGTGCAAAGATACAAATACAGGTGTGCCTTGGCCACAGAAAGTCTGAAAACCACTGTTTTATGTATATATTTTTATCAGATGCCACAGGCGTCTAGTTTAGCCAAGGGCTGCCCCTTGAAAGTCAGAGATTGGAATAGTCAGTCTGAGACCCCTCAGTTCAGGTCAAGTCAATTCAAGCAGCTGTATTTTGTTGTTGTCTTTTACTAGTCAGTGTGCCAGACTAGAAATAATCCCTGAAAAACACACTGCCTTACATTTAAATCTTTAGGAGATGGGTATTTTGGGCATGACACCAACAACACAGTAAATGAGCAAGAACGTCATTTAAAACCCATTTTCATATTGCACACACTAAACAAAAAACACCCTCTGGCTATTCTCACTTGTCTCAGGATGAAAGTATTCAAGTACTGTCCAGGAAAAATAAAGCAAGGTAAAGCAAGGTAAAGAGATTCTTTTTTTTTTTTTTCCCAAAGATAAGCGATCATTCCCGTCAGGAGCGAAGATGAAGCAACTGATATAATTGAAAGACAGCATGTCTCTTGGCTGACACCTACGTTGAATTACAACAGGATTAACTCCCACACATGTAGACGCATGTACTTAAAGCTGTATATCACTTAACACTGCTGACAGTTATCTGGAAGACCTCTCCACCGTGTTTGCTGTAAATCATAAACAATTCACAAGGTTAGGTATTTGTCATTCTACAAAGCAGGGTTGCACAATAAAGCTGTCCCTTTATGCTACGCATGAGAAAGCAAATCAAAACAAGCTGTTATAAAACACAAGTTCAGTGTGTTGCCCCTACCTGTAATGATATGCTTGAGGTGATAAGTTGTAAGTCAAATGCGTGTGATGGGTGTAGTGTGCGCAGGTGTGTGTGTGTGATGCAGTCTTATAGTTCACAGGTCAGAATGAGGAGATGCTACCAAATGTGGCTTGAATTTAATTCCAGTCATACCAGGAGGAGAGCCATGTGTCATGACTGCTGAGGTGTATACATCATTAAAGTTATGCATACACCTCATTACTACTGACTGTTGCAACACGCATACTGTAAGCAATTACAATCAATTACATCAAATAACAAATGTTCATTGTGTTAATTCCCCCCGCTTTCTTTCTCAGCTCATGTTTTCTTTCATTTGTAAAACAAAACAAATTAAAAAGACAATTTTGGTCGAAATTTGATTTGAAAAGTATTAAGTAATTACCCTTTAAATTCAGAATGCTGTTAGGATGGATGGCCACAAGCCGATAGTGATGCAATGTTAAAGGGAAATTTCGGTTTATTTCAACCCGTCTCCTATCGTCCTAAATTTGTTTCAAGTGACTAGTGACATAGAAATAATAGTTAGCATGTTAGCCGTTAGCCTAGATACAGCCGGGGAGCATAGTAGCGTCAGAACTGTTAAAACGTAAGAGAACGGGCAACCTTCAAATGCAAAGTTAGTCCACTAAACAAGTTTTTTTCCCACAAAGACCGCCTCATATTGTTAGGATAAATGTCAGAGAACATATAGAAAACGACATGTAAACGTGTTGTCTTACCTTACCGGTGTGCTGCCATGTTTGTTTACCATCTACCTTTGCTTTCCAAAGCGCGGCCGAAATAACGCGAGAACAAGCAGCGATCTCATAGCGTGCCTGAACAAGCAGCAACAGCTGGAAGGCAGAACCGGACAGTAGCCTGAAAAGTTCATTCATTTATTTTATGAAAGATTTATAGAATAATGGCTGACTTTTTGCCAGACTTCGACTTTGTGGAGGAGGAATTTGATTTTGCAGAGTTTGATGGCCGCCCTTATTTATTTGAGCCAGAAGACATTGACGAAGAGCTTCGTGAAATTGAAGAACGGAGGAGGTGAGAGAGAGAGGCACAACAGGTAGAGGACGAGAGAGGAGGAATGGCTGCTGCAAGGCTGCGTAGCTCTGGAGATGGTGGTGTATCTGTGAATGCTGCCCCAGTGCCCACAGAAGAGGAATGCCTCTGTTGCAAGGAATGGGACCGGTTGCAGCCTTATTTTCAAGGTCTGGATGTGACAGAGAACGAGACACCTCCTCCTGGAGTAACGTTAGTATCCAGCTGGGCTTTATCTAGAGCTGGCGAGATATATTTTGGGCGCACTTTGGAAAGCAGAGCTAAATGGTAAACAAACATAGCACCACACCGGTAAGGTAAGACAACACGTTTACATGTCGTTTCCTATATGTTCTCTAACATTTATCCTAACGATATGAGGCGGTCTTTGTGGAAAAAAAGCTTGTTTAGTGGACTAACTTTGCACTTGAAGGTATGCCCATTCACTTACGTTTTAACAGACCTGACGCTACTATGCACCCTGGCTGTATCTAGGCTAACGGCTAACATGCTAACTATTATTTCTATGTCACTGGTCACTTGAAACAAATTTAGGACGATAGGAGAAGGGTTGAAATAAACAGAAATTTCCCTTTAAGAATTTGTAATACCTTGACAAAAAACATATGTTAAACTAATGTCTTATTGATAGCTTTGTCCAGAGCTTTTCAGCTCCACGTGCCGTCTTCCTCAGCAGAGTTTGCTCATCTGTCAAAGATGAATCCCATACACGACCACCTACTATCACATGACCAAAGCTCCATTCATAGGACATGTGAGTACAGTTAGGGAGATGTTTCGATCCAATCTCAAAGATCGGGATTGGGGTTATTGAGCTACATAGAGCAGCGGTGTTAAACTCATTTTAGCTCACAGGCCACATACAGTCTGATTTGAGTGCAGGTGGGCCAGACCAGTAAAACCATTGCATGATATCCAATAAATAACAAACACCTTCAAATTTTTCCGCTTTTTTTGTTTAAAAAATTACCCTTTAAAAGCGCTCATCCATTTACAAAACAGTTGACAAACAGCCTGTGATGTTCTCAGAAGAATAAATGCAATTTCAACAATATTTCTCAACCCACATTACACACACTTTAAACACATATTAAACACACTTTAAACACATTAAACACACATTAAACATGGCTTAACTGAGACAATTTCAAACACAAGTACACAAATCAGCTTCACTATAACTCACAGCATTCACAGACAAAGCACTTGTATTTATCTGGACACATTTTCCCCACAAATACAACATGCTAATGTTATTAGCACATCATTAGCATTACTCCAAAAATACACAGAAGAGATTGGTCTGGATTGACGTGGGAGTGTGTGCCGGTGGCAAAAAAAAAAGACTTGACAGTTCATACTCGATATCCATGATACAGTCATTTTATACGTCCCACATGGAACAAGCTGCAATACATCAAGTATAATCAGTATATTGCCCACCCCTTCCTCTACATATTTCTACACAGAAGTATTTGTTCATGTTTATTTTAAAAGTACAGAGACAAACTCACAGACTAATTTAATACCACATTTCATTTTAAGACAGCTTGCAGTGCTTGTCCTTAGATGGGCTTTGAAATGACAGAAGAATGCTGAATAGTGCAATCACAGTGCAGAACAATACAGAGGTTTTTAGAGGCTAGTACTGCTGAGAAGTGCATGATCACTCCTGAGAAGCTGATCCAACTTGGGTTGAAAATAACCTCAGCTGTAAAACATTTGAGTTCCACGGAAGAAAGAAAGACCAATATCTTAAGTCTCTGCGGGTTTGGTCATTGGAACTGAGTGCCAGCACAAATATTTTAGACCACCAGCAACAGCAAGCACAGGGGAAGTAAATGCATAGATGTCTAGACACACTTTTTTAAAGATTAATTTAGTTTTGTGCATGGTAGGCCCCTGCTCTACCAGGTGAGCTACTCAGCGCCCCAGACATTATGTGACTGTTTAAAATAAAGGTGATTGTGCTATTAGGATGACCATGCACTGCAGAGAAATCCTGAATAAATACACAAGAGACCAGAGGTGGATTTGACAGATTCTCAAGGACAGAGATTTTTATCGCGACTCATGAGCAATGGCATTTGGGAGTGTGCACAAATCATGAAAAATCTGCAGCACTGATAAAGACAATAGTGATTCTAAGGGCATGACTCAACACAGCCCTGAAAGAGTAGGAAGCCTTTAAAAGGAAGTGTCAAGTGACATCAAGGGTCGATTCTGTGGAAAAGTGAACAGATTGGGTGGGAACAGAGGAGATTGGATCGTTTTCAACGACTTCTCAGGAAAAATGTGTTCACGCAGCTTTGCTTATAAAAGGAGGTGCAGAAAACATGGGGCTCACAGTCCTGCGCACAGGACAGAGAAACTCTCAAGTCTGAGGAGAGGATATCACAGCAGTTTGAGACACATAGAATACAGGGGATTCTGCAGATCCTGTTTTTAAAGATCACTCCCTAATTTCTACCATTTAAGACAAGCATGAATACTGCAATCCAGTGCATCATCCTCCTGGCCTGCGCCATCACCTGCAGTTCAACAAGTAAGTGTGCTAATTTATTGGATCATGGAAAGCTTTTCTTGTTGTATTTCTGCATTTATGTGGCTTTAAACGAGCTAAACTGACTAACAAACATCGCCCTCTTGGCCTTGCATATCAGGAAAATATGAAAACTGTTGCAACTCCACAGATTATTTACACTGTTGTCTTCAATTTTCCAGCTATCATCGACTGCCAGTGTTTAAAAACAAGCAAGTCTGTAAAGCTCTCTCTCATCCTCGATGTTGTTGTGTTCAATCCTCGTCCACATTGCAGCAAGAAAGAAGTCATGTGAGTATCTGCAGTAATGTGAACTAATGTTCCACGCAGTTGTGATTTTTAGTGTTGATTTTTATGTGACAGTAATCTGTAAGTATTGCACAGAGAGTTGTTTTGCATTAAGGCTTTCTCTTTCTCCTGCAGTGTCAAATATAAAAACAAGACCTCAGAGTGTCTTCAACCCGACACAAAATACGCCAACGCAATCCTGCGAACAATACAGAAGTAAGTACAAATACAAGCTTTTCTTGACATTGTTCAACACAGTGTGAACTAATACTTCCGCAGTTAGATGATTGTCAAACAAAAGTGCACGAGAGGGTAGAGGGATTTCATATTTTTCTGCAAGCAGAGGTCAGCAGTCACATTGTAGCGTTGCTCTATGACACTCTGCACATCAGGTCTACATCATTGTCAGTGTGCAGGAAAGATAGAAGAACTAATGTTGAATTTATCCTGCGACTGTTGGAGTAGAAGCAGCTGATACAGAAGGAAAAGAGGCTCCCAATGACCACGTCTTGCGCACTTGAGTTCAAAAATAATCCTGTTTAGTTAAGAGCCAGGGTTCCTAATGAAAGGGTCGATATGTCCTTAACTCTTTACCCCATACAACGCCTAATAGAAGCACCCTTATAGAACATTCTAAGGCTACTCATGGATGCTACCCGGTCAGTAGTGTCGCATTCACACTCGCCTGCTCTCGCTCCACTCTTCAATTCTACAGGTTGCCAGGTTTGTAAACGACAGACACTGGAGACAGAGATGTCAAGTGAAGAGTGTTTTGTGGTACAGTAGTTAAAAAATAATAATAATAAATCATGAATCCTCTCTTGTGCGTCCTGTAACACACTGTTACAATCTCCGTAAAGCATTTTTAGCTTTACTCGTCACTAATGCTAACGTAATTAGTCAATTAGGATCCATTGTCGTGGTGGACACACGGATTCCCTGATTCAACAACGTCCTGTATACTGTATGTATGTACTATATGTGCTCTCCCTCTTCTTTCTTCCGTCCCTGGATGATGTCCTGCCTGACATCGTAGTTTATTTTTACTTCGCTCCCGGCTAAACCCATAGCCTAAAGTTAACATGACTTAACATATTGAGCGCCAATAAAATAGCTCAGTCAAAAATTTTTCGTTAAACTTAAGATGAAAAGATGAAAATGAACTATTTGTTTTGAGTAAAGTTCTTCACAATGAAAAAATAGTGCTCGACCATGATTATTTCTTCAGGACTTGAATTTGATGACAAGGGGTTGCAAGCTGGCATGGGTTCTTTTAAGGGATGAGAGACCAAAAAAGTTGGCCATCACTTTTTAAGTGCATCACTAGCATTGAATGAAGTGTGTCAAAGTATTGTGAATCAAAAATAGCTGAATTAAAAGCAGACAAACCTTCATTTTAAGGTGTCACAAGCTAACTGTTTCAGAGGATTGAAATTTCAAATTAAATGTTAAGCATGGTATCCTTCCTTTACAGGCAGAAGGCAGACCTTGCTGCTAAGATGAACGCCACCAGCCTCAAGATGAGCACAGAGCCAGCCACAGTGTCGGAGACAGTGTCAGCCACAGCGTCAGCCATAATAATGGCAACAGCATCATAATGCAAACATGTTTATCATCCTTACAGTTAAACCAAGGTATCCATCTTGTACACCTTTCCAAAGTAACAGTGGGGTTGTTGTAGTTCGTGTTTGTTTCTGCAAAATCAAACACGAGTGCTACAGCACCAAAACAAGTAAAACTGTTTCACTTTGAGCTTTGCACACTGGCAGCTAGAAGATGTAATAGTGTGAAATGGTTAATACTCCATCAGATGTAACTGAGCATTGGCACATTTGGGAGACAGTTTGTAAAGCCATAGAGGTGTCCGTACGCAGAATATTCATGTGGGCAAACAACGTGCATGTAAACTACGAGGTGTGAATTATGTGCAGTGATGAGACAGCCGTACGGTGAATGATATCGTATACATCCACACTACTGTGCTCTTATTACATCCTGTAGCAAATAACATTCTGTTTGTGATGTCATTCAAGGTGGCACATTAATAATGTGAAGGTCAGTAATGACTATAAATGTGATGGTAAATGTGAACTGTGTTTCTGTCTGTGGCTAATATGTTAAAGCATCATTTGTTCATCATTTAAATGATTCTATGTATGTACGCATCACGCTGTATGTGAGCCGTGTTTGTTTTTTGTGGGGTGAAATCATGATGTACAACTCCGATTCTTGACGTGTGACACTGTTGACAGAAAACGGCAAAACCAATAAATGTGGGGGTTGTAAAATCACATCTTGGCATTTTATTTGAAATTAACAGTTTACACATGAAAGCACTCAATGAAATGGTTACAGTGCAGTCATCTTCTAGATAGCTGCATTGTTATCAGTATTTGCAGCATACATTTTCAAGGTGTAATTATGCACATAGACCAGGGGTGCCCAAATACTTCTCAGTGGAGGGCCAAAAATGAATCAGGGTGGAGGGTCATGGGCCAAAACTAAACATTCATGTTGCAGTGCATTTAATTAAATGACTATGATATAACTATGCAAAATAAACAGTCATACAAAGTAATTTAGAAAATGAATAACATTTCTGTTTATTGAAAGCAGAAAAATAATAAGTACCAGGCCTATGTCTCTAAAAACATGGGACACAACATGTCCCTACAAGACCAATATATTACAGTCTCCACTGTCTTGAACAATCATTTTCAAATAGGAATATAATTGAACAACAGCTTTAGCTTTTTAGCCTTTTCTTGTAAATCACTGAACTGTGTTTACATTAATTTCAGCTGAAACATTAACCATACAGAGCAGAACATGCTCCAAAGTGCCAGACATTTCACGCCTAGGCCTCCAATACATTCTTCAGTGCTTGAAACAATACTGTTTTCATAGAAATACATTTGGTGCAATGAGTAACATGAAACACAAAATGGTCTCAAGGGACAAAAATGCTACATTCATCACTGCCTTGAACAATCATTTTTAGGAATACAAACCTCAGTGCATATTACATGCAGAATGCCTTTCAGTGGGAGACATGATTTGAGCTGACTGGAGCTAAACAGCGCCACCCTACCCTCAATGTAACACAATGCTGATTTGTGGTCAGTAGAGGAAGTGCAACAATAAATAAATATTTAAAGAGATATTCCGACTGCTGGCAGCGGGAAAATAATAATTATTTAATTATTGAAAATTTGAGCATGGGCCGCGGGCCAAAACTAATCGGTCACAGTTACAGAGTTACAGTTAGTTACAGTTACAAAGGACTTCACAATAAAGCTGGACACATCAGCTTTTATCAATTTCTTGCCCATAGCCATTTTTTTTTTTGCCATTTGTGTTTTCGATTTGCTCAGGATTCAAAGGTTTAAATGCTTGTGAAAGGCATCTGAATGCAGTACAAGAAAACTGATGTCATTGGCCTTGTGAAGGACCTCTTCAGAGGTTAAATACCTGGGTTTTTCCACACCAGTTTGTCAGACTAGTTCCAGCCCAGTCAGACTAGCATGAACTGATGAAGCCTCTTGAATAAGAGGTGAAACGTCTTCAAAGACAAAACTAAGTCCAGTTGCGTTCGATTTAGTTGCCTTAAGATTAATTAGAAAACTTATACTTGAAACAGAAACCACAGTCAGTGTCACAACTGAAGGACAGAGCCAGAAACTAATCAACACTAAGGGATCCCAAGTCTCCTAACTTCCTTTCTCATTTCCTTCACTTGCATCTTGTCTTTGTGTCATAGTCCCTCCCATCAGTGACGCACCCAAAGACACAAAGGAACCATGCGAGGAGTGGGAAAATGGGGAACTGTGATTTATAAAGAAATGAGACGTTCCTCTGAAGCTTCACGTGAAGTGACATCTGTCTGTAATGACGTCTGCAGCTGATCACAGCTGGATCAGCTGTCAGTCTGTTTCAACAACTAGTTGTATTTGCATACGTGTGCTAATACTACTAAAGACATTAGTGGCAGAACTGCAGTATTTTTCTCTGTTTCTGAAAAACCTGCACACGAATAACAACCTGCACTCTGTATTTAAACAGAATGTGTTTACAGTATTTATTCATTAATTACATCTGTATTTATTGATATTCTAATTGCGAATTCATGATTTAATAACCCAGAATATGATTATGATGTCTTTTAAACACTGGAAATAATTTATGAGGCCAAATGTTTCATGGAAAATTGAAATTCTGTAACTCATTAAACAGCAGCACAGGGGTTCCTGGTTCGAAACCAGGGTGGTGGAGCCCTTCTGTGCGGAGAAGGGCTCCACCACCCTGGTTTCGAACCAGGGTGGTGGAGCCCTGGTTCGAAACCAGGGTGGTGGAGCCCTTCTGTGCGGAGTTTGCATGTTCTCCCTGTGTCAGCGTGGGTTTTCTCAGGGTACTCCAGCTTCCTCCCACAGTCCAAAGACATGCAGGTTAATTGGTGACTCTAAATTGGCCATAGGTGTGAATGGTTGTCTGTCTCTATGTGTCAGCCCTGTGATAGTCTGGTGACCTGTCCAGGGTGCACCCGCCTCTCACCCAGTGTCAGCTTGAATAGGCTCCAGCCGCCTCGCAACCCCTAACAGGATAAGTGGTTACGGAAAATGAATGAATGAACGAATAACTCATTAAACCTCAGGAATGCTCAGCCTCATGTGTGACTGAATAGAAATGATGATAAATGATCTTACAAGTGTTTCTTGCTGATAGACAGACTCTTATATTCCCTCTGACTTTAATTGCATCCATAATAAACGTTTAATGGGAGAAATGAGAGATAGGAAAAGTGGCCGCATACCTTGGAAGTGATTTACGTTTGTGGTTGGCTTTCAAAAGATTTGCTCTCGTGTGTCATTGCTCCTCAGAGATCCCTCCTCGCTCCTTGATCCTTGTTCCTCAGCTCCTTGATCCTTGTTCCTCAGAGCAGGCATAGGAGCCTTTAGACAAGATGACGCATCAGAACAACTCAAATAAAAGTCACATTTTATCAACAGACACAATAGAAACAAACTTTTTCATCTTAGGATCTAAGTACTGGCCTCCATCACTGAACAGTTTAGGACAGAACAAACTTAAAAAGGATTGTCGTTGACACAGATGTTACCGTATTTACATTAAACCAGTACAGTATACACAGTATGTAGAATGTTAGTCATTTTATGCTTTGGGTTATAGAAATTTTATTAAAATTTCCCCTCAAGGTTGTTTTTCAGAAGATGACAATTTTGCCAAGTCATACTGTAATACATCATTTCATCCCTTATGATCATGTGGCCTTGAGGCTTCGCATGATGATCCCCTTTTAACCCACATTTACGACCCGAATGTCTGATAAAGACACATGCCTTAAATCATAAGGGACTAATATTTCTCAAGCCCAGTCTGAAAAGGCTGTGTCATCAAAAATATGATTTCAGCTGTTATCACTGTCTGTAATTTTATGTAACTAATGATAGTTGGCGAACAAATACAAGTAGATTAAAGTATGGAATTTAAACATTTTGACATGAACAAAACTAAAAGAGAATTTTCAGTGTGTCAGTTTTTGTGGCTGCACAGCTTGTACAGTGTTTGTCCTACTAGTCAGTGAATGTTCTTTATTTTCACGAACAAATGGACGCTTCAGTTTATGGTTATTCCCTTCATCTTAGCCCAGTTAAACATTATACATGTAGTGGTTTTGTATATTACTGTAAGTTAAAACTAAAGTTAAAGTGTTCAACACTGTTAATATCAAAACATTGCAAACTGAAATGACACATGACAAATGAAAAGAAAAACTGAACTGAAACATTTTCATTTTCATTCTTATGCGCAAAATTTCGGGTAGTTTTACACAAGGCTTATAGGAAATAAGTCAAAAAAATGACTCATCCCCCAAAGACTCAAAGCTGCATTAATCACTTTACTTGAGCCACAGAACTTCAAAACTTATCAACAGTCTAAACATCACACACACATATTAGGCATATTATGGCCCTATAAAGTTGTAATTTATTAGCAAACAGTTGCCTTTTTACATTGGACCAAACAACCTTTCAAGGGCTTTTTTTTTTCTGGTGTTCGCTCCGCCAATAGGAACGCTGAAGTGATGTACTGTTAGCTGGCTGGCGGTTGGTGTAACACTGTTATTTTTGTTTTGACAAGACATATTGAAATTTATTTCTTAGGATAAACCTCTTGAGATGTATCATCTCGTTTGTCCCAAAATAAAATCATGTTGTATTTCCACCATCGCATATTTGCTCAGTACAGCCTGGACTCCACTGCTCCAGAAGCTCCAGCTCCTTTTTGCCGTTTCATCAGGGTCACCTTGATCGCTCTTGGTTTGGCCCCTCTCATTGGACCACTTTGCCTTTGGAGACCCTACCAAGAGCTATTTGCCCCACACAGCATAGCTCCCAGGGTCACACGGACACACAAACCCCTCCAAATCGTTAAGGTGGCGAACTTTGGAAGGGCCAACAGGTCTGAGGCGATGGTTCTCTGTTGGAAAACAGTGGATTGCTCCCTCAGGATTAGGAAAGAGTTACTGCCTCAAGGGAAGGAGTTCAAGTATTTTGGGGTCTCGTTCACGGGTGAGGGTAAAATGTAGCGTGAGATGGACAGGCAGTATGGCGCGGCGTTGGCAGCAATGTGGGCACTGTGCTGGACTTTCGTGGTGAAGAGGGAGCTGAGCCAAAAGGCAAAGCTCTCAATTTACCAGTCCATCTACGTCTGACCCTCACCTATGGTCATGAGCATTGAATAGTGACTAAAGGAATGAGATCACAGATACAAGCGAACTGAAATGAGTTTCCTCCATAGGTTAGGTGGGCTCAGCCTTAGAGATAGGATGAGGAGCTTGGGCAAACGGAGGGAGCTTGGAGTAGAGCAGTTGATCCTTTGTGTGGTGGCCAGTTGAGGTGGTTTGGGCATCTGACCAGTAGCCACCTGGGCGCCTCCTGTTGGAGATTTTTGTTTTTTTGCTGAGAACAGCCACAAAAGACTAGGGTTGTCACGATATTAAAATTTCAAACTCGATATCGATACCCAGGAAAATATTCAATACTCGATACCATTTTCGATACAGCAGCAAAAAATTAAGAGGCATGTCATTTTTTAAATAAAGATCAGAACAGTAACATCAATGATAACAACAAAAAATCCCCCCAAAATAAATAACAACCAGAAACAACATCTGTCCATACAAATGTATTTATCTACAGCCCTGTTTATTTTCTGTGCTTCTGGTGAATTGGCACCATATTTTCATTGCTGATCAAATAGAGTTGGTAGTTTAGGCTCAGGATGCTCCTGTTTCTACCTCACTATGTGATCAGAGAACCAGAGGTTACGGGAGAAACCAAACATTTTTTCAGCTTCAATCTGTGACTTTACAGTTAACATAACTTTTCAGACACACATAATTGTGTTGTCCGGTTAAACTAACATTGTGTATTAATGTTACGGACGGGCATGACTGAAAAGTTTTCTGCTTAGCTCCCACATTAACGTTAGAAGTTATATTTTAGTTTGATGCTGGCGACACCAGCTGCTCAGCTGCTAGTGAGGGGAGGGGCTGTACCTGCCGTCTGCAGCGTGCTGTGTTCACTTCACTAAATATTTCCAAAGAGCGCTTTTTCCTTTATCATTTTTGACCAAAACTGGCTGCTCTGATCCTCCTGCAGCTGCGCTGGCCATATTACAGCAACAGAAATGTGTGCATGCATGCACAGCCACGGCAACAGCACGTGTCCATCAGACCCATCGCGCGCACCCGACAGGCACTGAGGTGGCGTGCACTGTTAGTATCGATAATTTTGTAAATTAGTATTGTATCCGGATACAGCGTTTGAGTATCGATACTTTTGACAACCGTACAAAAGACACAGATGAGAGCCATGAGAGTGAACCAAAACTGTTCTGTTGTGGGCCTAAAAACCAAAACAACGAGCTGAAAGAAACGGGAACTGCTAAATTGAGTGATATTTCTTGTCATTATAGTCATTGCTTACAAAAGAATATTGATTAATGCAACTTCAATACCCCCCTCATCCTCAAATCAATAATAGTTTTCTAGAATAACAGCCAACCTGAAAAACATCCACAACACAAACTAGCATATAACAGAAAGTTGTAGAAATAATTAAAGTTTGTCAGAAGAAACACTTATGAACTATTTTCACATAGTAACCTTATTGTGCTTTATATACAGGGTCAGAACAAGCCCCCGGGTCAAAAAACAACACAGTGTCATATGTGCAGTTGCCACGGGTCAAACTGAATTTGTTTACAGTATTATCTGTTGATCATTCTCGCATTTTTCCTCTTTTGGAGTCAAAGGGGGAAAACAGAGTTGAGTACTTCTGCAGAGCTATGATGAACAGAAGAGAAATGAAACAGTTGGCCGGTCGTCCAGACAGACACGCTCCATCTGTGTGACTCGTTTCTCTGGCCAACCACGAACACGCCGTGTCTTAACCTCAACGGGGCCTCTCGTCTGCCCCTGAACTCACCGTCCCATGACTACCTTCTGCTGCACATGTGAATGCACCAAAGTGAAACCAACGTGCACACACACAAATACAGAGTGGGAGTTTTCTCAATTTCCCACAGCCAAGTTCATAAAGAGAGCACATGATCGCTGTATGTACAAATACTGGAGAGCAAAATGTATATAAACAGTCCCAACAGCTATATGACATCCATGTGAGGAGAAGAACTCTCACTAGAAGTAAGACTCTCGGAAGAAGCACCAACGTAAACAAGATGAAGCTCTGCATCCTGCTCATGCTCGGGACCCTGCTTGTCCTCGTTTATGGTAAGAGCATGACGTGATGATGGTTTTTGTGAGTCTAATGATGATAAACCTCATGAGTTTGGAATAACAGCTTAAAGTGTGTTGCTAAATCCTGATAAATATTTGCCAACACTGACATGTTTCCTGCAGAGTGGGTGATCCACTGCAACAGTCAGACAAACTCTGAAATATGTGATTCATTTTTCAAGCAAAAATGAATCCCTTGAGTTTTCCTTTATCTTAAATGTTCCTGTAGAAGCATAGAATGCATTACATTTTCTCTAAAAACTGTGTACTTAAATTATTGCTGATCACTTTCTAAAGCATGCAACAGCAAGAATATTTAATGTGTTTTTACAATATTTGAGGCAGCCAATTGTTTCTATTCCTTTCTCTATGGAATGACAATCAACTTGTCGAGTTCTGTTATTGTTTTGTCGTATTGTGAGTGCTAATCTGAAAAGTCTTTGTTGCATTACTAATCAAAAATAAGATGACCGGAAGTGGAGGTCATATTCAGATCCTTTAGCTGAGCTTAATTACTCGATTACAAAAAAACATTGTGTATTAAAAATTGTACTTGAGTGGAAGTACATAATCATGAGAAAAGTTGTGATACTTTATCTAAAAGCAAAATAGCTTAGTCAGCGGCGTGATCTTCTTTTCCGTGTTTTATTATTATATGCTATAATACTGAATATTAATTTTAAGTTGGTGGAGGTAGAGCTAATGTCAACTATATTACTAATTTATCTTTAAACAGACAGTCCACCCCAAAATAGAACTAACTGCTACCACATGCACAGAAACGGGAACTACGCCTGCCAGCTCTATCACCGCGCAGAGGGAAGCAGCGTGCTCCTACTATGCAAGATGTAAACATTAATGGCATCATCCTCAGCTGGGCTGTAACGTTAGCTAGCTCAGTAGTGCTACGTCAGCTAGCAGTAGATAGAATAGCTTGAGTAACTTGGTCATGGTTTCTGGAAAGAGACATTGCTGTTGAGTTTTTCAGATTAGTTTTTGGCGCTTTGAGCACCACAAGTTGAGTGCCATCTAGTTCTATTATATTAGGGAGAAGGCAGACATCTCTACGGCTGATATCTCCAACACTCTGCAGCTCACACCAGAACAGTCTAGATTGATAAATAGCACTACAGATAAGAGGAAAAATATGTTTGATTTTTGAGTGAACTGTCCCTTTAAGAATGCATCCCACTCAGTTAGTGGTAGGAATCATGATACGATATTATCACGATATTTAACTCACGACACAATATTATTGCGATTTTAAAAATTTACCATGACATACAGTATAGGCCAAAAGTTTGGACACACCTTCTCATTCAATGCGTTTTCTTTATTTTCATGACTATTTACATTGTAGATTCTCACTGAAAGCATCAAAACTATGAATGAACACATGTGGAGTTATGTACTTAACAAAAAAAGGTGAAATAACTGAAAACATGTTTTATATTCTAGTTTCTTCAAAATAGCCACCCTTTGCTCTGATTACTGCTTTGCACACTCTTGGCATTCTCTCCATGAGCTTCAAGAGGTAGTCACCTGAAATGGTTTTCCAACAGTCTTGAAGGAGTTCCCAGAGGTGTTTAGCACTTGTTGGCCCCTTTGCCTTCACTCTGCGGTCCAGCTCACCCCAAACCATCTCGATTGGGTTCAGGTCCGGTGACTGTGGAGGCCAGGTCATCTGCCGCAGCACTCCATCACTCTCCTTCTTGGTCAAATAGCCCTTACACAGCCTGGAGGTGTGTTTGGGGTCATTGTCCTGTTGAAAAATAAATGATCGTCCAACTAAACGCAAACCGGATGGGATGGCATGTCGCTGCAGGATGCTATGGTAGCCATGCTGGTTCAGTGTGCCTTCAATTTTGAATAAATCCCCAACAGTGTCACCAGCAAAACACCCCCACACCATCACACCTCCTCCTCCTCCATGCTTCACAGTGGGAACCAGGCATGTGGAATCCATCCGTTCACCTTTTCTGCGTCTCACAAAGACACGGCGGTTGGAACCAAAGATCTCAAATTTGGACTCATCAGACCAAAGCACAGATTTCCACTGGTCTAATGTCCATTCCTTGTGTTTCTTGGCCCAAACAAATCTCTTCTGCTTGTTGCCTCTCCTTAGCAGTGGTTTCCTAGCAGCTATTTGACCATGAAGGCCTGATTGGCGCAGTCTCCTCTTAACAGTTGTTCTAGAGATGGGTCTGCTGCTAGAACTCTGTGTGGCATTCATCTGGTCTCTGATCTGAGCTGCTGTTAACTTGCCATTTCTGAGGCTGGTGACTCGGATGAACTTATCCTCAGAAGCAGAGGTGACTCTTGGTCTTCCTTTCCTGGGTCGGTCCTCATGTGTGCCAGTTTCGTTGTAGCGCTTGATGGTTTTTGCGACTCCACTTGGGGACACATTTAAAGTTTTTGCAATTTTCCGGACTGACTGACCTTCATTTCTTAAAGTAATGATGGCCACTCGTTTTTCTTTAGTTAGCTGATTGGTTCTTGCCATAATATGAATTTTAACAGTTGTCCAATAGGGCTGTCGGCTGTGTATTAACCTGACTTCTGCACAACACAACTGATGGTCCCAACCCCATTGATAAAGCAAGAAATTCCACTAATTAACCCTGATAAGGCACACCTGTGAAGTGGAAACCATTTCAGGTGACTAACTCTTGAAGCTCATGGAGAGAATGCCAAGAGTGTGCAAAGCAGTAATCAGAGCAAAGGGTGGCTATTTTGAAGAAACTAGAATATAAAACATGTTTTCAGTTATTTCACCTTTTTTTGTTAAGTACATAACTCCACATGTGTTCATTCATAGTTTTGATGCTTTCAGTGAGAATCTACAATGTAAATAGTCATGAAAATAAAGAAAACACATTGAATGAGAAGGTGTGTCCAAACTTTTGGCCTGTACTGTATATTGCAATTTATTACCTTTTTTTCAGCTACAAATAACATCTCCAAAAGAAAACTTTGTCAAGCTTTGTTTTATTTAATAAGTTTACAGTCTGTTCTTTTTGCGTCAGTCATTTTTATAGCAGCTAAATGTATCTAGTGAACTGAAAAAGAAAGACGTTTCATTATTTTAGTAGGCTACCTAAAGTTAAATTTGCAACATTAGTAATTTATGTAATGAAAAACAATACTTAGCGTCCATGTATCGATACAACATTTCCACGCAAAATATCACGATACTCTGCTGTATCGATTCCCCCTCTCTATATTCAATTAGGACACATTATAACACATTTACTGAAAAATAAAATATATGATAGAAGCACCAGTTAGTCAAGGACCATAACTGTCTGCATAATTGTAACTCAGTCAAACTTTTCAGCCCTCAGTAACCTTAACCACACCATGACTTGTAGAATTTAAGTTGACTTTAGAGAAAAGAGGGAAGTAGCCATTACATGTCACAATGCCAGGGCTGGTAGTTGTGATGAAAGCTTGCAGTTAGTGGACCTGTCAGCATTTAATTTATTGACCACTCAAACATTGCGATGAAAAGTCCCCACTAAAGTAAAACAAGGAAGGGGAGGTTGCTGTTACATTGCAATCACTGTGGGAGGGTGAGGTCATGACTTTAAATACTGACAAATCAGATTTTTCTTGTTTCTTTGTTGGAAAAACCCTACACACTGCGCAGTGTCATTGTTTAAGCTTGAAGTACACAAAGTATGTAACCCACAGCATTTGTAACTGCTGGGCTTATAATGTCAGAAAACATGAGATAGTTGAACTCTTGTGAGCAGAGGCATTTTTTGTTTTGAATACCAAAGTAGAAAAAGCTTAAAAAAAAAAAACACACTCAAAACCAAACTGGAAAAATCTGCATGTTCTGACCTTTCAAATAAAACTGCAACCAAAGCAAAAGACTGTTCAAGTTGAAGTTTGTTTCCACAAGTGATTTAGAAAAACTCTGCCAAGATTCAGAGGCTTATGTAGTACAGTATGTTTGTCCTCCTGAAGTGGTTCAAATCTGACTGAATGTCTGTTGATGACAGGAATGCCGCCAATCAGCAGGGACTACAACACACACTGTCGCTGCCTTCAGGTGGAGTCGAGGATTATCCCTCCAAACAGCCTGAAGAGCATCAAGCTCGTCCCTGAAGGGCCCCACTGCCCAGATATGGAAGTCATGTAAGTGCTCTCATATACAGGACTGTTTACTGAAAGTCATCACACAAGGGTCAAACTGTAACATGATCTATTCATGTGTTGAGAAGACAAAACAGATCCCCTTGGACTCACATTGGGAAAGAGATGTCTATAAATCAGTGGATACATTTTTTTGAGTGTCAAAACCCTAAAGAAATGACTCGTTTCACTGTCAAGATTCAATCCATTCAGTCCGATAACATTTGTAAAGTCTAAAAGAGCCCCAAGATTAAATTATTTCATCCACATTCAAATTAGTGGAGCGCTAAACCTGAAGTTAGCTGCTCAGCTAGTGGAAGTTTGTCACTCTGCCGTGTTTGGCAGCTGCAAGTCTCTAGTGCGCCTGATTTCTGGGTCCAGTGATGCCGAAGCAGTGATGATCATCCGGGTAATTTCAGACCACAAAAATTAAGCTTTTTTGGCCACTGAGCAGCTTCCATAGGAATGAACAGGGCCTCGCAGCCAATGCTGTATCTAATACTCTTGATAAGTCCGTGGACTAGCCACATTAACATGTGGATACATAGCGCCCGCTGCCCACCCTCCGGTCACTAGCTTAAGTTAGCCTTGGCTGCCCTTCACTGCACGCCACCCCTGTTGGGTAGGAGCTAGCTAGCAGTGCTGCTCATTCACCAAGTACCACTGGAAATACCATCCTGACCCATGGTGGCGGGACGGCATTGCTGCGGAAACATTGTGGCCAGCCTGTGTTCCCCCAGGTAGCTTACCCGTTGAGTAAGCTGCTTCATTTTGCACCGCAGAACCCCTTTAGCATTGTTAACCATATTAGCACCACTTTCTGTGCTGACAAAGCTAGCTGTGCTAACATAGATAACATAAATAGCAATAGTAAAGGGGTTTAGTGATTCAAAGTTACGCCACTTACCCACCAGAGCTACCTGGGGCGACACCGGAGGGTGGGCACAATGTTTGCGCAGCAAAGCTGTCCCACCTTAATGGGTCAGGACGGTGTTATCGGCAGTAATTGCTAAATGTGCCCCAAGCTAGCTACCATCCAAAACAGGTGTTGTGTAATGCAGAATAGCCAAGGTTAATTAAACAGTGTAGCATGAATACTGTTTTGGCTTTGTTCTTTATATCGTTCAGCATAGTGCTAGTAGTAAGACTAAACTAAAGAGTAGCAACATTAACAGACGTGTAAGAGGTCAAAAATATTTTGTTAGTTGACAGATTAATGGTTAACTGTGACATCCCCAGTCATAAGGCTGCATGACAGTAAAGTTACCAGGCTGTTGTAGCTGTTCTGTGCTCCTAGATTGATGATGTCAATGTTTTTAAAATCCTGTCTCTAACTGCAGTACATTTATTTAATTTCTTTGACCAGAGCTGGACTGTCGAACGGGGAGAAGGTGTGCCTGAACCCTCGGTCCTCCTGGGTGAAGAAGCTTGTCAACTTTGTTCTGGAGAAGCAGCAGGGAGGAGCACTTCCCAAGAATCAGGGGCAATAAAACAGCACAAATTGAAAACATGCTGCAGTTAAAGCTGCTTGAAATAACGCGATTCTGCAAATACGAGCCATGCTGTTGTACTTTAATGAATAACAGCATTTAACCCAGATTGTTAAACTTAAATAACCTCTTATTGTTGACATTGTTATTTCTGAATTTGTTTTATTTGCCAAATATTTTGTAAAGCATTTCTAAATACCTGTGATTATGCATTTATATTGTTGAGGTTTTAAAAAGAGCAAACAAAAACAGACAGGTGTGTGATTATATTAAGGAAGTAAGTCATTAGACTTTGTGTGTGTGCGGTATTTAATTGTGCTCGTAAAGTCAAATGTGACTTTAAGAGTTTCTCTGTGTGGAAAGTTTTGTTGTATGACCTTTTGAAAGCAGATACTGTAGCATGAAATGTGTAATACTCTAATATGTAACATATCATTTTGTGTATGACTGTGTAAAGCTTCTTCAGCAATAGCAAGACATTACCACTTGCTTTGTTAAATTCCCCTTTCTGTGTCTAATTTGAGTTTGAAATAAAAACAAATATATATGTAAAAAGTAAAATGTGTCATTTCTGCTTTGCTGTTGCTCTGAATGTGAATCCTGCTGAACCATATTTGTACACGTACACCGTTGAACAGCAGCGGTTTTGCAGGTAAAAACTTTATAATTAAATACATTAAATGTACAGCAACAAGACCACATTTACACCTTGCATTGATATGCATTTTTCCTCATGCAGATACATTTAATGCCAGGTGTAAATGAGGTGAGGCTGTACTTAGCCACAGTGGTACTTTGAGCTAAATGCAAAAATGTGTTTACCTTTCGCCCAATGTCGGCTGGTTACAGAAAATGAATGAATGAATGTTTATCATGTTGACCATCTCAGTTTAGCATGTTATCATCCCCACATTTGCTAATTATCACTGTGACTTGACGGAGTTTCATGTGTAGCTCTATCAGCTTCTGCAATTTTATCACATTTAATGCAGATAAAGTAAAATCCTCATCATTTACCATCAAAAACATGTCACACCTCCATTTCTTCCCCGCCTCTGTCTCCCATGACTGAGGGTCGTTCTGGAGAGCGATGGTTCCGGTTTTAAAAACTAGTAGCCGTCGGTGCGACCCCGCTGAGAGCCACTGGTGGTGTTAGCTCCCTGGCTAACACTGGTGGTGGAGGAGGCAACTCAGCTGCTAGCCTAATAGCCATTGGCGCGCCCCGCTGAGAGCTGCTGGTGGTGTTAGCTCCCCGGCTAACACTGATGGTGGAGGAGGCAACTCAGCTGCTAGCCTAATAGCCGTTGGCGCGACCCCGCTTAGAACCGCTGGTGTTGTTAGCTCCCCGGCTAACACTGGTGGTGGAGGAGGCAACTCACTCAGCTGCTAGGCTAGTAGCCATGGGCGTGACCCTGCTGAGAGCCGCTGGTGGTGTTAGCTCCCCGGCTGACACTGGTGGTTTTCTGAACAACTGAAAGGCTTCCATAAATGTCCAGGCATTTATGGCTGGACATTTATGCTTTATTAACTAAAGCTAAAGGTAATATTATTATATTATTTCGTTTTTCGTTTTTTTATTTTGATTATATAAACATTTCATAATTTTGATCGGAAGTATAATGTGATGATTGACAGGCGGAACCCTTTAATTGGCTGTTGTTTACGGCCAGTGGCCCAGTGCACGTAGTCACAACACCGGATGCTTGGAATGCAACGTGCTGTGAGTGGAGAGAATATTAATGGGAAATGGGAAAAATGGGAAAATACAAGTTTGAGCAGAAGTGGTTGGATGAGGAACTATTCAGAACCTGGTTAAAGCCCGTCGACGGTAACCCCGAGAGGCATTTTGCAGCATGTGCAAAAAGATCTTCAAACTTTGCACAATGAAATGCAGTGAAATCACACATGCTGTCAGATAGTCACAAGTCGGCGATTAAAGGCAGGCAGCAGTTAACTGTGCCGAATTTCTTTGCCGTGACCAGCAACACAACTTCTGCTGTCGCCACCACAACTGCAGCTGCTGCTGCTACCACCACCACACCTGCCGCTACAGTGACCGCCTCCAGCCTTTTCAGGTTAGAGTTAGTTTTTCACATCATTCTTCAGGCTGGTTTTGTTATTTTTGAAATGTGCAGATAAATTCTGAGACTGTAAACCGTCTTGTGAGCCATTTCTAATTCACTATAGAGTGACAGTTATGAAAAATTTACTCTATAGAGTTTCTCAAATATTCAAGATTAGCTGATGCTTACAATTTTGTCTATATCTATATATATACAGTACAGGCCAAAAGTTTGGACACACCTTCTCATTCAATGCGTTTTCTTTATTTTCATGACTATTTACATTGTAGATTCTCACTGAAGGCATCAAAACTATGAATGAACACATGTGGAGTTATGTACTTAACAAAAAAAGGTGAAATAACTGAAAACATGTTTTATATTCTAGTTTCTTCAAAATAGCCACCCTTTGCTCTGATTACTGCTTTGCACACTCTTGGCATTCTCTCCATGAGCTTCAAGAGGTAGTCACCTGAAATGGTTT